GAGGCAGGGACACGCACGGCACCGCCAGACCGTCTGCGCGCGGCAGCAGACCACGAGGAACGAGCAGCACGGAACCCGCGGAGGGCCCCGCGGAGCAGCCCGCAGAAAGAGCCCGCAGAGGAGGAGAGCAGTGGAGACACGCAAACCACAGCAGGTGCAGGGACACGGAGGAGGAGCAGACCACAAGCAGCCAGACGGAGGACGCCAGGGTCGCGTCGAGTAGCGTGAGTAGACGAAAACGATTCCTCCAGACGATTCTCTGCAAGGCTTCGAGGGCTTGCGAGGCTTCGAGAAGGCCGAGAGTGGGAGTTTCTCCGCTTTTAAGCGGCTGCCTGTCCGGCACGGATGATTAGAAGGGGGCGTTTGCTGTGCGATAGGCTGGGGAAGCGATCCGGCCTGGAGGGGGTAGCTTTTGGCTGACGTCTACCAAATTGAATTTCCGCGAGCTGCATTTGACAGCTCCGTGAAGTCTCCAAAGGACCTGCAGCACATAGCCGCCCTCGCCTGTTTACAAATCGTTGAAAATTTGACATGTACTAGTCATAATGTACTTTTGAAATAAAAAGTCACAGAGGTCCATTTTCAGCGAGAAAAAGTCGGAATTCCGCCAATTGTCTGAAAATTCTCATCCCTGAATATATGTATATCGGTGCATCCCTAAAAAATACCTATTTTTGTGCACTTTACTTTTCAAAAAGCCAATATTTATATATATATTTATATATATATATATGTATATAGAACAGCAAAGATACTGCGCAGAACCCTCAAACTCCCAGGCCTCTGGTAGATATGGGGTGCCGATTGTAAAAATTCTGTTAAAATTTTTTAGCTGAACATTTTTCTACATTTAGCTCATTTTCCTCACATTTAAGACATATCTATATCTAAATATTATATCTATATCTAAATGTTAAATGTTATATCTAAATATTATATCTATATCTAAATGTTAAATCTATATCTAAATGTTAAATCTAAATGTTAAATCTAAATGTTAAATCTAAATGTTATATCTATATCTAAATGTTATATCTATATCTAAATGTTATATCTATATCTAAATATCTAAATGTTAAATGTTATATCTAAATATTATATCTATATCTAAATATTATATCTATATCTAAATGTTAAATGTTATATCTAAATATTATATCTATATCTAAATGTTATATCTATATCTAAATGTTAAATCTAAATGTTAAATCTAAATGTTAAATCTAAATTTTAAATCTAAATGTTAAATCTAAATGTGTCGCCAAGTGTAAAGCTAAATATATAGAAACCACGCCCACTGCAGTGGCTTCAAATCCAGTGGGCCCGCCTTCCGTGCCGTGTGGTGAGAACCCTACAGGATTACACAGGAATCTCACGGGACTCCACGTGGCTTAGTTTACAGTGAATACACTCTGGCTCCAGCAAATAAGCAAGAATCTTCACAAAAATGCTAATTTTGTGCCGTGGCCAAGGACGATGGCGCCGGAGACCCAACATGCCTTGAGCCGTGACGTCGGTCCACGTGTATTCCTATGTTCAAAACACGCGGTACCGCCCCCACTCACCACACGGCACGGAAGGCGGGCCCACTGGATTTGAAGCCACTGCAGTGGGCGTGGTTTCTATATATTTAGCTTTACACTTGGCGACACATTTAGATTTAACATTTAGATTTAACATTTAGATTTAACATTTAGATTTAACATTTAGATTTAACATTTAGATTTAACATTTAGATTTAACATTTAGATATAGATATAATATTTAGATATAACATTTAACATTTAGATATAGATATAATATTTAGATATAGATATAATATTTAGATATAGATATGTCTTAAATGTGAGGAAAATGTGCTAAATGTGAGGAAAGTGAGCTAAATGTAGAAAAATGTTCAGCTAAAAAATTTTAACAGAATTTTTACAATCGGCACCCCATAGGTAGAGGACCCGAGCTTAGAGAGGGATAACCGCCCGCGGAGGGCCAAAGGTGAGTGGACAATTTTTTTATTTTTATATATATATATACAGTGGGGCAAAAAAGTATTTAGTCAGCCACCAATTGTGCAAGTTCTCCCACTTAAAATACAGAGGTCTGTAATTTTCATCATAGGTACACTTGAAACAGAATGTGAAAAAAAAATCCAGGAATTCAATTAAGATTTTTCAAGAACTTATTTGTAAATTATGGTGGAAAATAAGTATTTGGTCAAAAACAGAAATTCAACTCAATGGAAGGAGGTTTTGGCTCAAAATCTCACGGTATATGACCCCATTCATTCTTTCCTTAACAGGGATCAGTCGTCCTGTCCCCTTAGCAGAAAAACAGCCCCAAAGCATCATGTTTCCACCCCCATGCTTCACAGTGGGTATGGTGTTCTTGGGATGCAAGTCAGTATTCTTCCTCCTCCGAGCACGACGAGTAGAGTTTATACCAAACAGTTCTACTTTGGTTTCATCTGACCACATGACATTCTCCCAATCCTCTGCTGTATCATCCATGTGCTCTCTGGCAAACTTCAGACGGGCCTGGACATGCACTGACTTGATTCCCTGTCGTCGTAGCGTGTTACTGATGGTAACCTTTGTTACTTTGGCCCCAGCTCTCTGCAGGTCATTCACCAGGTCCCCCCGTGTGGTTCTGGGATTTTTGATCACGTTCTCATGATCATTTTGACCCCACGGGATGAGATCTTGCGTGGAACCCCAGATCGAGGGAGATTATCAGTGGTTGAAATATCGTTTTGGGCTACATTTGGGCTATCTTTTATACAGATAATGAGTTCAAACAGGTGCCATTAATACAGGTAACGAGTGGAGGACAGAAGAGCTTCTTAAAGAAGAAGTTACAGGTCTGTGAGAGCCAGAGATCTTCCTTGTTTGAAGTGACCAAATACTTATTTCCTGACTAGAACCAGGAAGTACAACCACATTAGTCCAGGTCTCAGGTCTCTGCACCGGCTTCCTGTGGCTCAGAGAATAGACTTTAAAACAGCTCTGTTTGTATACAAGTCTCTCCATGGCCTCGCACCAAAATATATTAGTGACATGTTAGTCCCATATGAACCAGCCCGGACTCTGAGGAGCACAGGGACTGGACTCCTGTTAGTGCCCAGAGTCAGAACTAAACATGGGGAGGCTGCTTTTCAATTCATGCTAAACTTCTTTAAAAATCCTACACTTTAGACTACTGCAATGGCGCTGCTCACAGGTCAGTGACAAACCGGCTGTACAACAGCTGCAGTACACTTCAAAATGCAGCAAGCTCGAGTCCTGACTAGAACCAGGAAGTACGACCACATTAGTCCCCAGTTCTCAGGTCCTCGGCACTGGCTTCCCTGTGGCTCAGAGAATAGACTTTTAAAACACTCTGCTTGTGTACAAGTCTCCACCATGGCTCGCACCAATAATATATCATGTTAGTCCCATATGAACCATCCCGGACATGGCCACCGGTGAGGAGGCGCACAGGAAGCGCCGGCGCCATCCCCTGTGGTGGCAGTGGCATGGGGTGTGAACAGACAGACAATGGTGGAAGTGCAGGTCATACAGATGCAAGACGGAAAAGACACAAGGGTGTGACAGACAGCAGGGACCTTCACAAAGCTCAGCATGGCGTCAGAAGGTTGTCTGCATTGATAAAAGGCCTTTGACGTCCGTGTATTTGCTGCGGCTGGTTTTAATGTAATTACTCCAAAAACTGTCACCACAGCCCAGAGTCAGAACTAAACATGGGGAGGCTGCTTTTCAGATTCATGCTGCTAAAATCTGGAACAATCTTATACAGTTACTGTCTTTGCAGGAGACAGAGCCTCATATAATTATTTAAGGTAATCACATACATAGTTAAAATGTATGAAAAGTTTACAAAAATCTACCATACAATCACAAGAACTCGTTACAATGAAACTTTAGGTCAACATTAGTATTGTAAATTATTTTAATGTGCTGTTTGTTTCTTAGCGTGCTGATAATAATAATATTCTTTATATTATTATTATTATTATGCTGATGGGACTCATGAATCCGACCCTCTCATCTACACCTGTGGACTGGTCTCGCCCGGGCCTGGACTTGTAAGCACCCCCTCACTGCTTGAGAGCACAGCCTCAGTCCTCGTTCGACAGCCTGAGTCCTGGATCCATGGGAGCCTCTTTCAATGTGGGCCTGCCAGAGGTTTCTTACTTCTTTTCCAGTGATAGCCCAGGACATTTCTGGACCGTAGTCGTCCCGCTCCTCATGGACCAATGGCTCCAATGTTTTTGTTATTATTACATTTCCTTTGTTTGAACTGTTAGATTCTCTGATCTGTTGTTGGTGAATCAACTATTTTGTAAAGTCCTTGTTGTGAATTGCTGCTATACAAAACTAAATGGAATTCTTGCACTGCACATAAAACTTGCTTCATACCAAACCCAGCAGCCTCTGTGGTCATTTAGCGTAAGGCAAGACACAGCAGTCACACAAGCTCTAGTGTAAAGACAAACTTTACATAAGTCAAACCAATAAAAGAGATGGATCCTTAAGTGTAGTTACTTCAAAACACTAAATTCACTAAAATGAGTCAAAGTACTTCTAGAAAAGTGCACTGTAATTAACAAGCTATGAAAGCTGATATTGTTTGTTATCACATTATTACCAGTTTCTTTTCTGCATGTAATCAAACTGTCATTCATTGTGTGTTTGTAGTTTGTAGTAGTACACCTGTTTGGACTGACTGTATATATTGTATTGTAGTTTCTTTTAAATCTCCAGGTTAAAACTGGACTCACCTGAGGAAATGGGTGGAGTCATCTGTGCTCCTGCTCAGTTTGGAACTGTTGGAAGTAAAACCTGCAGCTACATGGCCCTTTCTGGAACCGGATTGAGACCCCTGGGTTAGGAGGAGAGAGACAGGGAAGGAGATGAGCAGGGAGAAGAGAGGGAGGGAGGAGAAGGGGAGGGAAGAGTGGAGGGAGAGGAGAAGGGGAGGGAAGAGTGGAGAGGGGGAAGGGAGAGTCACAAGGAAGGAGAGCGGGAGGAAGAAGAGGGAGCAGGAGACGAGCGGCGCCGCCTCTTGGAGCTGTTCTCGGGAGAGCACTCGGACCTGCTACGTTTGTAGGGAGAAGAGGGAGTGGGAGAAGCAGTGTTAGAAGCTGAAGAGCAACCTGGGTCAGGTAAATCTGAAACAGGAGAAGGAAGATCTGGACCTAAAATAAACTCCTCTGGACCTGAAGAGGAAGAGTGTGAGGGGGAGGCAAGAAGGGGAGAAGAAGGGGCACTGCCAGGAGGAGAGGGGACATCTGCACCAATGATTGGACGGACCTGAATAGGAGCAACAGTGGGGGAGGCAGGAGCTGGATCCAGAGTCTGCACAAAAATGTCCAGGAACTCCTCAAGGCTCTGGAAATCTGAATAGGAAAAATCAGAAGAGCAGGAAGCAGAGGGTGAGGGAGATCTGGGAGCCGGAACATCAGGATCCGCAAGGTCCACCTGCGGAGGGAGATCCACCACCTGCGGAGGGAGATCCACCACCTGCGGAGGGAGATCCACCACCTGCGGAGGGAGATCCAACACCTGCGGAGGGAGATCCACCACCTGCGGAGGGAGATCCACCACCTGAGGAGGGAGATCCACCACCTGAGGAGGGAGATCCAACACCTGCGGAGGGAGATCTAACACCTGCGGAGGGAGATCCAACACCTGCGGAGGGAGATCCAACACCTGCGGAGGGAGATCCACCACCTGAGGAGGGAGATCCAACACCTGCGGAGGGAGATCCAACACCTGCGGAGGGAGATCTAACACCTGCGGAGGGAGATCCAACACCTGAGGAGGGAGATCCACCACCTGCGGAGGGAGATCCACCTGCTGGAGATAGAAAACCTGCGGAGGGAGATCCGCCTGCTGGAGATAGAAAACCTGCGGAGTGAGATCCACCTGCGGGAGATAGAAAACCTGGGGAGGGTCGTCCACCTGCGGGAGATGGAAAACCTGGGGAGGGTAATCCACCTGCTGGAGATGGAAAACCTGGGGAGGGTCGTCCACCTGCGGGAGATGGAAAACCTGGGGAGGGTAATCCACCTGCGGGAAATGGAAACCCTGGGGAGGGTCGTCCACCTGCGGGAGATGGAAACCCTGGGGAGGGTCGTCCACCTGCGGGAGATGGAAAACCTGGGGAGGGTCGTCCACCTGCGGGGGATGGAAACCCTGGGGAAAGTGGTCCACCTGTGGGGCAAAGAAACCCTGGTGAGGGAAGACCACCTGCGGGGCAAAGAAACCCTGGGGAGGGAAGACCACCTGTGGGGCAAAGAAACCCTGGGGAGGGAAGACCACCTGTGGGGCAAAGAAACCCTGGGGAGGGAGGTGGAGATGTTCCCAATCTTCAAAAGCCCGGGGGGCTACACGGTGACCTAGAAAAGAAAAAAAATCAAGTCAAATATTTGTCGTTTTTAGCATCATTCCAACATGTTTGAAATATGCAAGACACCATTGTTTCGCTGAGCCCTCTGTCCATGTGTAGGACTGTCACAGAAAAAAAAAATCGTTTAAATGGCCCAGATTTTTTCCAATAAACGCCAATAATGTGATTAATTTTTAAATTGTCCTTCTGAGGCTTTTTGCACTGCCAAACGGCATAAAAACGGCAAATTGACCGTTTGGAAGACCAATAATTCTTAAAACATTTAACAATGTTCTGGAACTTGAACATTTTAACAAATTCAGTCCCAGTTAACCATAAATACTTCATTCCACAAAATGAATGAAAAGCAACCATTGACTCTTTGAGCTCCCTAATTATTTTGTAGTTAATGGTATTGTATAGCTCTAGGACTGCCTTTTTTGGGACAAAAAGTTTCTCCCAGGCAACTCATACTGAAAAATGTTCCTCAAATGTGAGGAACATTTTTCGAAATGCAGAGGCTCATCGGTATTAAAGGTCCAATATTACGCTTTTCTTCATGTTTCACACTCAATCTTAAACACATGTGTGATAATAATGTGTGGGATACACCACACAACACTTAAAACTTGTGAGATTTGAGCCATCTCTTGTTCATCTCTAGCTCAACTCAAACAGGCTGATCCAGAGATCAGTCTGCTCCTCTGTCTGTGAGGCCGCCTTCCCGCGCCCACACGGTGACGTAGCATCACGCTCTTGTTGTTTGTCACCGGTACATAGTCATTTCAGACGTAAGAATAACCTTTTTCCAACAATGACAATCCGACACATCGAGCCCTATGTCCTCGATGCACAATCAGACCCTAATTTAGTTTACAGAAGTATACGGCGAGTAAGCGTCACTGTACTTAGAGATCGGGGGGGGTCCGTGTTAGCATCACTGTACTCCCAGATCGGGGGGTCTGTGTTCCGTCTCTTATCGTGGGAATAACACTGCTTTTCAGATCAGTTTTTGAGTAAGTCCAGTTCCATTGTCCCTGTAGTTCTGGAACAGTCTCAGTGAAGTGTTGCAGATGAACCGGTATTATAATAGATCCATGAGATGAACAGATGAGAAAAGTCGAGCCGCTTTCTTCCTCTTTGCGCCAAATTGTGCGTCACATATTTACACCCAAAACATATTTCATCCAAGTTGACATGATCCCAACACTTATAGTTGCTGACAAAAGCAGATCAACAGCAGCTCTATTTGGTGTCCACGAGACCAGACCACAGACGCTGGACTCGGAAGCTGGACTTGGGAACTGGCTGCGCGCTCTGATTTGCTGTTTTGATCTTTCAATCATCTCCCGCCGGCTTTTACTATTAATTTATTTTATTTGTATTATTTAAAGCTGCACTAACTGACTTTGGGATTCTCGAGGTCGGCGTTACGTCACGAATCATGTGACCTGCGTAGCAACCAACCGCCGCCATGTTTGAAGGGTAAAACAAACCGAAGGCGAATCCAAAAGGTATCTATTTACATATGTTTTGTCGTGGATTATGTCAGTTATGGATACTAACGGACAACTTTGAATTATTGATGAATGATATCTGTGTATGCGAATGTATGTTGGTGGTGTAAACATTCAGGGCTTGCTTAGCTGGAGGCAGGAATCTAAATTCCTATCTATTTCCATTGTAGCTGTTGTCATAGTAACAATAAAGAAATGTCTAACTGTTGTTGGAAATATTAGATAAACCTTATTTTATTAACGCAAATGTAATTCCTCTTGTTCTTGCACCTTAAGCCACAACAGGACCACCTTTTTCAGTTGTAGTTTTACACTTATAATCGCCAGTTTTAGTTTAATCTTATTTCTCTTGCCTGCAGCTGATGTCACTGATGATGTATATACCACATGTATGGAGTAAACACTCATGTAAAGCGCTTTGTGACTAGCTACATGTCTGTGAAAGGCACTATATGAATACAGATCTTCTTCTATTGCAGCATGTCATATCAGTATATTGACAGTCTCCTAGCGCCTGCATTGACCAGGTACCACAGAAAGCTGTCGCTTGTAGGTTTACAATCTTGTCCCTATCGGCATCCAGCAGAGTCCTGGGAAAACAACCCAAAGGCATGGCCCAGGCTCGAGTATCCAGACATATACAATTACATCATCAAGTCCCCTGGTATGAACACCATGTGTACATACCATGTGTCCTACACTTGTAGTAATATTTAAATACCCATCAAGCATCGATAACATTAACTATGTTATGACATTCAAAAGCATTCTGTTACAATGTGGCTGTAATGAGCTCAGTCTGTCAGTGGCACAGCTTGTACAGTGTAAGTGAGGGACACAGTTTTTTTCAAAAGCCAAAAAAGGCTAACTGCAGAAATTCCACTTATTCCCCACACAACTAGTGCATTTCATTGTTGCTTATCGGTGTGGAGCTGCCGACCATTATGCATAGCGATGTCATAACATAGCAACAGAAAACAGTGGCATGGCATTGGTATTATTTTGTTATTCTTTGATTTGCCCCTCAATGTGTCCATTCATTTGAGATTACATTTCTATTTAAATTTTAAAGTAAAATGGCATACCCTCTATTCACACTTTTTATGACCGGTTATTTTTTGCAATAACCAGTCATCAGATTACATTTTATTATATTATATATGTAGTGTCTAACGACAACAGCAAGACTTTAACATTTCTAATGAGAAATAGTTTATTAGACATTGTATAAGTAGAAATGAAAGATATGGAATCTTTTAGTTCTCCTCCAAGGTTTCTCACTTTTTCCCACTGGGTTTTTTAAGAGTTTTTCCTTGTCGATGCAGGAGGGTCTTGTTGGACAGTTAGTGTCCAACAGAAAGGATTGGTGATGATCAGGACACTTTAGCATTCTACAACATGTATGGACATTTTCTTCTGTGTGTGCTTTATATTCTTCATGTGTTTTAACTGTTGATTCTCTGACCTGTGTTGGTGATTTCAATGGTTTTGTTAAGTCCTCTGAGATGACTTCTGTTGTGACCTAGGGCTATACAAGAATAAATTGTATTGTATTGTATTGTGTATTGTATTGTGTAAATACTAAAAGACGTGAAGATTGACATGAAAACATTTGTATCATTTACTTGCAATTTGTCAGTGTTTTTGCTCTGGTCAATTGTCACTCTCCTAGATGTGATATGTTAATGTATAAAAATAAAATTATTTCCCTTTCTTCATTTTCTTTTGTTTCAGGTGTATTTAGTATTATGATGGTGGAGACCGAATCATCGCTGATTTTGTCAATGCCTAATTCCGTCTGCTGCAGGTCTTGCATTTCCATGCAGGGTGTTGACACTTCTTGTTGCAACTCTTCTGGGACACTTGTCTCCTCAAATTCCAGTTGCTTCTTCACCTTCCTTTCCTTTCGTGATACTAGAGTAGTGGATGGTGCTGAAAAAAATAGATAAAAGGTATATATTTTGCAAATGATCACAGAAATTTTAAGTCATGGCCTCATATTTATAATAATAATAATAATGCATCAGTTTTATGTAGTGCTTTTCTGGACACTCAAAGACGCTTAACATTGCACTATTCATTCACTCCATACTTGGTGGTGGTAAGCAACTATTATAGCCACAGCTGCCCTGGGGTAGACTGACTGAAGCGAGGCGACCAGTCTGCGCCATCGGCCCCTCCGACCACCACCAACCACTCACTCACTCGGCTTCCTGGTGTTACTAAACGGCAGTATATTTAGTATTGAGTTGGATTGGGACGACAAGTCATAATAGTCGACTATGACTAGAAAGCAGCGACCAGTAGACTAGTTTTGTACTATAAATACCATCTTACCAAGAATTTCCAGGCTAGGCATTATGTACAAAAATCTGCATGACTAGTTACTTTGTAGATGCAATGACTTTTTCATACAGGAGGTAATTTTGTTTTCAAGGAAAATACATTTGTTAGCAAAATCTGTATTTTTACACAGATTACCATTTTTGTAGCAGTTAACCTCCCAAGTACTACTTTTTCAAATTTGTCATTAGAAATCAACATGTATTTTTTATTTATGTATTTCATATGGGGGACAACATTCTATTTCACAAGGTGCTTGTATCAATTGTTGTACACAACCTCATTGCAATATGGAATCTTTTAATTCTTAACTGTGCATTGGAAATGCAGCTCATTATCTGCAGGTACAGTACGGTTTTACTGCAGTGTAAAATAAGAGCAAGAAACACAATTTGCTACTATATATATGTCTGCATAAACAAAATCGACTGCAATTTGTTAGTTTTAAATTTCAAGTGTTGTTGTGTCAACAAATTCAGATAATTTTTGGTCATTGATCTAGGAGCAAACTAGATGCATGTTGATCACACTACAGTTTGATGGTTTTTTTTCTGTTAACGATAGGGTACTGTGGGTAGCAAACTTACCTTTTCTTTTCTGTGCTCTCTTGAAGCGATCAAGTGTGGTACTCTTAGTCAATTCCTTCAGCACTGCTTGCGGGAAAATGGACGGAGTGTAATCTGGGTGTGCGGGGGTGTTGTTCTTCTTTCCTGTTCAAGGAGCAAAGTGACAAAATCTAAAGATTCCCACTGAGTAGCTCCAAGCCAGCTGGAGCCATTTCTCTCTCCTTTCTGGCTCAGTTGCCTCGCTAGGGATCATGTAAAAGGATAGGTCACTCCTTTTTACGCTGTTGTTGGTACAACCAACAATACAACAGTTTTTCGGCATGTTTTGTAACGCTCGTTTGTCTTTCGCTTCGTGTTGCTTAATGGCGGGCGCTGGTTTGTTTTACCCTTCGCCGCGTTGCTATGCGCGCGCAGTGCATTATGGGAGTCCAAGTTCCCGGATGTCCGACCTCGAGAATTTTGAAGCAGTGGACTCGCTGGCCTCGCTCTTTCTCCTCCCCTCTCCGCACCCACGAAGCTATCGCCCCCGCTACCGCACACCCACTGTTGTTTACGTAGCTAGCGTCTCCCAATATGGATAGATCCATGGATATGGACTTGCACGTGGATGGCGTGACCATAGAACGATAGAACTGGGAAGCGCGGGGGAACGGGACTTTCTTTTGAATGGCTGTCTCACTGTGTAAGCAGTAACCGGTGACGAAGACGAGGAAGCTTCAGGTTAGCTCCTCCACTTGTTGTGCTAACTCAGCTGTCTATGATAACAGGGGACCTGTAGATTTCTCACGAAAGTGGGGGCTAGTGGTGCGCTGTGATTGGTCACAATCTGAGACCCAAAACACATTCTCTTCCTTGTTTCATCAAAACTCGATCTAAAATATAATGTCACGCCAGCACAACCCTGTGCTACTTTTTCTTCAAAAGGACGTATATCCCAATGCACTGCATGGACATGGATAGCATTTTCGTAATGAATACAAAAATAAAGTCAGTTAGTGAGGCTTTAAGATAACAAACAGCATACTTATTGTGTACTGTTTACCTCATTTTGTCAAAAACATTTAAAAACTATTTTAAATACGAAGCAAACAGGCTTATGCACGTCATATGCGTCATCAGAGTGGTTTTCGCCACTGAAGTGGACCCGACCGTTTCACTGTCTCTCGCTGGGGAAGGAGACAGATCGCTCTCTTACTAAAGATTGACAGAATCAATGAATAAACTACTCTGGGCATGTGTATGAAGGCCAAATAGCACTGTAATCATGTTTAAAGCCTAGAAAAAGTAAAAAACCGTGATATGGGCCCTTTAAGCAGCATAACCTTGGCAATTATGAAAACCATGCTGTCGGTCAGTTTGAACCATTTTGGGCTGTCTTGTTTAAACGTTGCTAGACGTAATGGGACTTTTTTTTTTTTTAAATAAACGCAAAGCACCCCCTTTGGAGTATGGCATTTGACAAAACAGGAAAATAATTACCTTTGGAAGCTTGAAATATTCAACAATATCTTAATAATTTTCCCAAATGTCTGAAATATTTGCCAACAATTATATTTTTTATGGAACAGACCTATAAATTAGGGCTGCAACAACAACAACAAAAATCGATAAAATCGAGAAAAATCGATAATTTAAAGTGTTGGCAACAAATTTAAATTATCGATTTTTTGTGTCGCGCAATTAATGCGTCACCCACTACGTTGCGGAGCCATGGATCTGCGCGGAGCTCACATGAGTTGGGCACATTCTTGGGCACATTCTTGTACAGCTGTGTTCAGACTTTTTTTATATTAATGCACAAAGATGGTGACTTCTGATCAATTCTATTTCACTGTGGCATTAGCAGCGCACACACTTGTCTGCTCCTCCGCTCACACACACTATGCGCTCTCATCTCGCTAGGTGTAGCCATGCTTAGTCTCTTTCCTCCTATCTGAATCACTTGGGATTTAGATCCATGATTTAGACAGTAGACACCACTAAAGTTATTTGACAGCTCCGTAAAGTCTCCAAAGGACCCATGAAAGGACCTGCAGCACATAGCCGCCCTCGCCTGTTTACAAATCGTTGAAAATTTGACATGTACTAGTCATAATGTACTTTTGAAATAAAAAGTCACAGAGGTCCATTTTCAGCGAGAAAAAGTCGGAATTCCGCCAATTGTCTGAAAATTCTAATCCCTGAACATATGTATATCGGTGCATCCCTAAAAAATACCTATTTTTGTGGACTTTACTTTTCAAAAAGCCAATATTTGCATGATTTTTTTGTTTAGGTCCATGGCTAATATATATATATATATATCAAATTTTATCCGATTAATCGATTAATCAAAGAAATAATCGACAGATTAAGCGATTATAAAAATAATCGTTAGTTGCAGCCCTAATTAGTTTTGAGAATCCCCAGGGATGACACAATGAAGTACTGGTATCAGTATTTGCAAGTTCTCAAATTTAAGTACCCATATTTAAAGGCTGTCACGCATATGCAGACAATTGAGTTACTGTAGACAGGACAAAAACAAACCCTGGCAGATTCAATTCCAGAGGAAAAAGTTTCCACAAGAAGCACAACAGGTTGTAATTTCTTTCATTTTTTTTTTCATTTTTCATTTTCAACCCCTTTATTTGTCCATTTCTGGGTCGGGGGGGTGGCAATGAGAGCTGCCACCCAATGCTCATAGCACCAGTCCCTCGCTGATCTTCTGCAGGGGGTGAGTCCACAGGAAGATGGCTGCTCCCTCAGTTGAGAAACCGCCTTGATCTTTCAGCGGGGGGCTTCAGGCAACGTGGGGTTAAGTGTCTTGCCCAAGGACACAACGACAGCAGTCATCAGTGGGAGCAGTTGGAGTAGGTCCCATGCTGGGAATTGAACTCACGACCTCCAGGCCCAAAGGCCAATGTTCTACCAACTGAGCTACTGTCACCCCCAGGTTGTAATTTCTGTGTTACAGAAATAAAAAAGCTATTGATACTTGGCATCGGAATTGGAACAAAATTTTTTTTTTTTGACATATCTCTACCCTGAATAGTTCGAAGGCACAAACAGGGGTCAACTTGCATTGTGTTAACTATCGTATTAACAACAACCATTGAGCAGAAACACAGGAATGTGTGAAAGAAGAACTTACGTAAAGAAGATGAGTGGTCTCCATCTCCAGCGTGGGGAGTCCTGCGGCGGTGGTCTCCTAAGACAGAACAAACATTCATTTTTGAAGGGTAATAAATGAATGAGGGGCAGAAGGTTTGTCTGTTTGACTGGCACAGTCAACATACATGTCAGTGAGCACACCTGTACCATAATACAGTAATGGGTCATTAACCACAAGGTTTACCAGAATTCCCAAACTCCAAAAATGATTAGTTTACCAGATTTAATAAAAGTAAGCCATTTATAAAAAAAAAATGTTAAACTATACTCACTTTATTAAGTGCTAAAACTGGTGAATATAACTAGAAATACAGCTGAAACAGTTTGATAAAATCCAAATGCTAACTTGACAGTTAACAATGTGTTGAACAAGCGCTCTTCTGTGGAAAACCAGAACAAGTCCAGGACCAGTCTGGGACCAGCATATTTTATAAGTGCCATAGAAAGTTGGTTACCAAGCAACTAAAAATGGCAACATTCCATTTTGGACGGGCGCCATTTTGTTTTCAAGAAACGCAGCAGAAAGTTGTGGACTTCAACGAACCATGAAATAAATACTGTTGTTTTCCTGAACATGTCTCAAAAAATGGTTAGATCGCTTCATAAGCTACAGATTTATGTCAAATTATCCAAGTTTTCGCATTTGATTCATCCTTAAATCGTCGTCTGAAATGTCTGCTACCACAATTTAGAACATATAGTTAAAAGCAAAGAAACATCCCGATTAGTTATCTAAATGATGTGAACATGTCCACTCTTCCCATACATTTCTTCTGATGTTTGTGAAATATGACAATTCATATATGTTAAAATATTTTACCTTGGCCCCGATGGTTGTCCATATCGTTGATTGCTTGAAACGCTTGCTAGTTTTGAAAATCTGGAAAAGTGTAAAAGAATCAACAAAACAGAGTTTATTCTATCATAGAGACTGTCCTACTAAGCTTGGATAGATGTTGTTGATGTAAAACGTAATGAAAGTAGTCGCACCTGCTCAAAGCTCGGAGTGCTACGGTCTCTGGCTCGGTCAAAGTCAGAGTGACGAACTGTTGCCTAGGCACCTATATATATATACTCAGCGTTGCTATGGAAATTACGCAGCTGCGTCAGCTATATGATATTTACCAAAATCATTTTTGCCCATGCTTTTGCCACACTCCTGCCATTACTGCCTAAGATAGCACATGTTTCCATATTATTTTTGACCAGGTTTCACTGTTTTTGAAATCCCAGCAAAGGGCCGCGGGTCTCTGGAAGCGCCGCAGATGTCAGAAAGGCGGACAAATCAGCAACGAATACTTTTAGATTAGTTTACGGATTGTGTGTTTGAGTCCTCCTGTATCAGATTATAACTCACCCATGTGGCCACTCATTACTGCGCATCCTTTTTTATGCTCCTATCCCTGTGCAACACCAAAAGCTGCCCATTCATCACAACTCCGTTCGCACCATAGAATCGCATTGACCTCAGATTTTTATGCACGTTAAATCCCGGCCAATGAGGATTTAGCGCCCTCTTCTGATTGTTTTTGTCACTGAGGGCACTGTGTTACAGTCTATGATTTCTGCACAGTGCCCTAAGGTCTTACCTCTCATCAATGTATTCAATTCTTCTTCGTATACACTGGAGAGCTCTGTAGGAGCTATTTTCTTGTAGGCTAGATTAATTTAATTGATTTGGGGGTATTGTAAATTTTTCTATATTTAGTTATTATATTGGGTTTACTTCAGTTTGGTTTAGTTTTAGTTTAATGGCACCTAGGGGATAAAGGGGGGCAGTACAGGGCGGGCCTTCATGCACCTGGGTAGGCCTATGGTTTTTTACCAGTTCTGGGAGATGCAGAATTTTGTTGTTGTTTGCCTGCAACTTGATGGATAAACCTGTTTTGAACCTTATATATATTTTTGGAATGAACATTTGTTTATTTTGTACTGCGTAAACCACTTACCCATGGTGCATAGTGAATATTTGAGTTTGGTCTTAAAGGCACACCGCGGACTTTGTGACCTAAAGAGTTGACACATATGAGTTATTTTATATGAATACTTGGGCCAATATACAGCGCTTGACACTTGCAATGCTCCGAGCGGGGCTGCCCTCTTGAAATACCGCCCATGTAAGTTTCGAGCAGACGGACCGTCTGCCACCAGGTCACGTGACTTGGAAGAAAGACTTGCTTTACGGCTACAGGCGCTGATATACTCATGGAGCTAAGGCTTTTGCTACTCATTTTCACCTGCTCGACTCCTGGTCATGGCTGAGGCAAGGAAAAATTTTAAACCTTCGGAGGAGGCTAAAAAGAGGAAACGCGAAAGGGATCGTGCTGTAAGCTGCATGTCTGTATGAGCGCTGCTCTTCACCTGGTTCCTGGATGTCATCGACTGCAAAGATGTCATTCCACGCAGCACGAGCTAGACGCAGAACTCCCTCATCCAGGATATAGAAGTCCATGTGTGGTAGATTACTAATGCAGCGGTCTGGAGGCTGACCACAGCAGAGTCTCTCAATATCTGTAGGCATGTCTCTACAGTTTGAACACACACACCAGTGCATGCTGTCTGATTACACACTCAAAAGACACCGGCTGACTGTTTGTTGACTTTTGCGACAGTGCTGAGTTGCTTGTGGCCACTAGGGGCGCTAAACGTGAAAGTTGCAGGTCTAGCGCCCCTAGTGGCCAAGAGTTACACGGTGTGCCTTTAAGTTTGGTTTCATTTTGGTTGATAGTCTTGTTTTTGACAAATAATCACTACACCATCATTACACATAAATGTCAAATGTTTTCACATTTGCACTGGCGGATCTAATATTACACATTCCGTCAGGTTGCTGGAAAGTTTCCGTTAAGTTATTGGAAAGTTTATGTAAATTCCCCTCTCATTTAATTTAGTTGATATTTTCGTTGATAATACCGCCATCTAGTGGTGAAACGGAACTGTCTAAGTTTTGACCCACCCCATGACTCCATGGATCTATAATAATAACTGGATAGGGTATTAGTAGCTTGGAGCTGTCCCACCCAAGGGCAAAGAGGGCGCTCGTGGTACTGCAGACTAAAATCATGCGGGCTACCCAGAAAAAAGTCCCATAGAACTCAATGCAAATTAAAACAGCTCGACCTCAGCTGACTGAGAACCTACAGCTTTCATATAGGTCGGATTTTGTGGGGATTTTAGTGTCCCTTGTCATCCTGAACTTTTTTTCTCCTTATATCTTTCGGTTTTCTTTAAATCCACACTTTACTGCCACAAACTCTTCTCCTTTCTTTCCCGCTCTGGGTCCGCTCTTCCGCTGCTCTGATGAGCAGCTCTGATTGGTCAGAGCACGGCCAAGCCCCTCTGTGCCCGTGCATGAGACCCACACACGCACGTTTGGCGCAACGCATCAAGGGATGAACTCCCATGATGCGTTGCGCCAAACGTGCAGTGTGTCCACTGCGCAGAACCGGGAGGACCAGACGAATATAAATTCAGCGAATCTCCTGGTCTCTGTGAAGTCCCATGCACTACCAAGCCCCGGTGATCCAAGATTAGATTAAATTGGATTAGACTTTATTTGTCACTATACACATGCATAATGAAATTAAAAGCAACTCCAAGATGGCGACCTATTCAAATGAATGGCTTGTGCCAGTAGCGCATGGGACTTCATGGAGACCGGGAGATTAGCTGAAGTCGCCTATATTTGGGCATCGTCTGGTCCTCCCGGTTCTTCGCAGTGGATTATCTCCCATGATGCGTTTCGCGATCTCCCATGATACCTCGCGCCAAACGTGCGTGTGTGGCTTTCATGCACGCGCACAGAGGGGCTCGGCCGCGCTCTGACCAATCAGAGCTGATCATCAGAGCAGGCGAAGAGCGGACCCAGAGCGGGAAGGCAAGGAGCAGAGTTTGTGGCAGAAAAGTGTGGATTTAAAGAAAACTGAAGGATTTAAGAAGAAAAAATTTTCAGGATGACACGGGACACTAAAATCCCCACAAAATCCAACCTTTATGAAAGCTGTAGGTTCTCTGTCAGCTGAGGTCGTGCTGTTTTAATTTACATTGAGTTCTATGGGACTTTTTTCTGGGTAGCCCGCGTGAATTTAGTCTGTAGTACCACGGGCGCCCCCTGTGCCCGTGGGTGGGACAGCTGTAAGCTAGTAATATCCTATCCAGTTATTATTATAGATCCATGTGCGCCACTGAGCACAAGCCATTCATTTGAATAGGGCGCCATCTTGGATCACCGGGGCTTGCATGACTCCCGCATTTAGAAAGTTATTACTGTATATTGTGTATTTAAGTATATCTTGAGACAAAAGCAGTGTATTTGCGGCAGAGATGAGCCATTAGCCCCTTGTGTAAGTCAGCTCACATGGTTCGTTTCCTATTTTGTGTACTTTTATTTTCGTACATTAAAAAAATATCATCAAACGTCACTACTTAGAACTTTGCAGAAAATCCTTCCTTTACAATTACCTATTACTTTATTGTGCATTGTTCAAACTCGAGAAAAAATCTTGGAGGAAGTGCATTTTTGCGCTGTGTGTGCGTCTGTCTTTGAGTGTGTGATGTGTGATGTGCAGCAGTTCTGTACCTAATTATAGCAAAACTTCATATGAAATAGAATTAAAAACTTCTCATTTTGATAAATACTGTGTTTCATAAAGTCATACCTGTGTCAGATCTTATCTGTGGTGAAATCAGACACTTTGATAATGTGTGTGACGTGGAAAACGTCTGCTGCGTCATTTGCATATTGCCCCGTCCCAATTCTTAGGGAGAATGTTGTGAGTGCACTCACCACTGGAAAGGCACTTTACTGGTGAGGGCACTCACACCTAAGGGCAAGGGTGAGAATTGGGACAGGGCCTTAATCCTTTCAAATGCACGTGTCTGTTGTATTGTTGTATCTCGTCAAACCATCTGTGAACTTTGGAAGCGGGAGATAAAATTATTCTTATTGTATGTCGAGAATGACTCCTCTATCTCATCCTTTTTTGGTGTATTTATTTTGGCTCTCTATGATCCTGGCGTAATTTGTTTGTTTGTATCAGCAGATCAATCAAATGTCTTACTTTGTGACCATACCTGCATGTGAAAACCAGGTTGCGTCAGACCTCTGAAGCTAAGAAGGGTAAGGCCTGGTTAGTGCCGTGATGGGAGGCCTTTGCGAATACCCGGTCTCGCTTCTGTCAGTGTGCCCCAGGGCAGTTGGGGCTACTATAGTTTATCACCACCGTGTGTGGAGTGAATTGGATTGTAGTGTTGTAAATTTTTCACTCTTTGGAAGTCCATACATTTCTTACTGCCCATAGGGTAATAAACTTATCACAAACTCATCGAATTTCTTTTTGTTCAAGATCATTTGCAGATGGTTTATCATTTTTCGTTTAATAAATGATACCTGTTCTTTGCCCCCTACAAAAATAAACTTGTTTTGAACAAATCAGACCATAACATGTTGTCTTCAAGTGAGTCGCTTATGGGAGCTGAGAGCTGATTGGGTTGCTGATCCTCTCTTTTTCCCATTTCTGTCTGAAAAAGCGGATTTAAAGACGTGACAGGAGCTAAATATGTGTGATAGAACCAAATTGTTGTGAGAGTGAATCAAATACAATGTTCTCTGTGTGTGATTGTGCCTTGGCCTTGTGGCATCTGTTCAGTTCAATGTATTTTTGAATAGCCCTAAATCACAACAGTAGTCGTCTCGGAAAACTTTACAAAACAGTCGCCAACACAGATTAGAAAAACCGTCCAAACCATAGACTGTGAATAGTAACGGACGTACGGCTATAGTGGCTCAGTTGGTAGAGCATTGGCCTTTGAGCCTGGAGGTCGTGGGTCCGAGCCCACCACAAGACCATCTCCACTGATGTCTGCTGTCGTTGTGTCCTTGGCCAAGAAACTTAACCCACTTTGCCTATAAGCAGTACGGATGTAATGTTTGCTGCATGCCTTGATGTGTGTATGTGTATTCATCAAATTGAAATTTCCACTCTGTGGGACGAATAAAGGACCTTCTTCTTCTATCTCCACAGTTGAAACTTGTGTGCCACCACTTTTGGCTTCTGTGGGCAGTTTCAAAATGGCCACGGGGCTTGGAAAATGTGAAAAAATGCATTTACGCATGCGTTAGCCGGCACGAGCCCCATTCCTTTGACTAGTGCCTTCAAAAGTCCACAGCGACTAAACTAGACTGGTCCAAAAAATATATACTCCCCTCAGCATTGACACACATCTGGAACGTAGCGTTGGGCCAAGAGCTGACTTTTGGACCATCCTGTAACACTGTTTTCAAGAGGTAAGAAGACGCAATACTAAAGCATTGGATAATTCTCTTTCTGGGTCCACCCCCACAGGCTAGGAGTGGTATTGCAAGCATGTTAGC